TGTAGGCATTCATCCCTACCAGCACGAAAAGGCTAATCTTGGTAGTCAATTAGGCTCAGTATGAACCAGCCCTGGGGGTCAGGGGCATGTGCCAAATATATGACGGTTGGGGTCCATTTAATACGAGACCTACATAAACTTAAAACTTGTTTGCCTGGTGGGTGATGCAGAACTGGTGCAGTCACCAAGTTGAGGCACAATATTAGGGTAATAAAACCCCCATTGCCATCAAAAAAGGCACATTCATTCCCAAAGATAGGGTAAAAGACTTTCTGTCGCTAGATGACCTCCGGCACAGGAAGCCCAGAGTATTACAGGTCTCATGGCATAGAAGGCACTTGTGAAGTCATTACCTCTTCCTCGCCTGCTGTTCAGATAATGATGCTAGGAGTGTCGCACCCGTGCTGAGGGGACCACAAAGGAGTTGTGGTCTATCGTTTTACTACGGTGTGGGGACACTGGAAATACATACTGCAGAATGGAATTTCCATGGGCGATGGCTAAGAGTAGGGGAACAAGAATACCTGTCTCCGCGCGGTACTAAGTACTTGATGATTGGGAGCAGAAGCAGTATGCCTACTGCTGGTAGTCCAAATTAGTCCCAAACCAACCAAGGCTGCGCTGAAAGTCGTTATTCTTCATAACCAATCGGTTAGCATATTGAGTGTGATGTGCATGAGTTAAACGCACTGCTCGTCATGTGACCCTTAAGGTTGCGCACACGAGTACTGAATTTAAAAAAAAAAAAAAAAAATGCTAAACGCACTGGTTCTAAAGGGAATTGTGCCTAAGTTGCTATGCCTTGATACAGGGACACCTAGGTTGAGCTTACTTGCCCTACTCCCCGAGGGTTCCGATAGGCATCTCTCTGGCGGACAATGACCCCAGCACTGTCACAGGTACTCAAGCTATCGTGGAGACTACCATCGAGTATGTCCAATCAAGAGTTCAGTCTATCCTAGCCTACTTGCAATAATTATTCCACCCACCATCCGTAATGTCTTTCCCATATCCAACTTACCCCCCGATCCACATCAGCGGAGTGTACCAGGTGAGGATATCTCGAGAATCATTCCACATCTAGGGGTAGAAATACCCCCCCCCCCCCCCCCGGTTTGCGTTGGAGAGTCAACCCGCGATTAACAGCGCCGCTGCACAGGCTTCTGAGTGTAAAACGGTTTCACCCCGGATCTACCATTGGCGCACCCACTACACCCCTTAGGGTGCCCTTGCAACTCCAGTCTCTCTCACTCAGTACCTCAGGTTGGCGCCTCTAAAAGTGTTGATATCTGAATAATTCGAATCTCCGTGGAAGACACAATTCGAGTTTAATTGATGTAACTTATAACACTTAGAGACGCAAGAAAAGCATTAGAAGAGACATGAATGGGGTGCACTAACTATAAGATGTGTACCATGTTACACCCCATGGTATATCGTAGCCCCATACTTACCGGGAGATCCCCGCGGGGAAGTTATAGTGAAGAAGAACACATGGATATCCTCCTGGGTGTAATTAACATAAGGTTTTATGTAATGAAGTAACAGCTTTAGACAGTTTCTCTATCGGAACAAAGAAACTTCGTACCGAATAGATATCTTTTTTTTTGGTGAATCGGACACCTGTGGCATGAGGGGCCACATAAGCTAAGAATGGGGGATTGTTGCGAATCCCCCATTCTTAGCTTATCTACACGCCAGGGGATTCCCCCACCGCAAATTTTCTAGCTCAGCTTGGCGTCAACCAAGTCGCTTTTGAAAAATGTAGCAAAGAACAATCGGGTTTGTTCATATATACATATATGTATTCATATAGCAATGAGACCTCTCGAAATCTCACATCTTTAGTAAAGCTGGAAGATAGAATCTGATAAGATTTTGCCTATGATAAAGTTATGTGTACGTCTTGTCCAGCCTCTGCGGCATCTTAAACTGGCTGATTTAAGACGCTGTCACGTCCAGCCTCTATTGTATTTATTACCCTGAACCTGCGCAGGCTTGGCACTGTGCGTTGGGCTTGGCATTGTGCGCGCTTGCTATGTAAACTTTCGTACACTAATAAAATTACTAGATTAGGAAAACAGGGGGATTAATTGTAATACTGAAGTACATAATCGATGTAAGATGTGAGATATGAACAAATTATAAACATCTATCTATTTGATATCGTATTCTATAGTCCCATGCATTGGGATTCCTAGATCAAAAGTCCAATAGAATAATAATAGTAGGGTCCGAGTCTATTTAACTAGACTACAGATAACCGGAATATCAACTCAAGTTATAATAATAGCCCCCTGTACTCTGTATAGACGAGACTATCTTACTACTACTTCTGAGATAGCTCAATTGATAATAACTGAATATATATCAAATTTACTAGGTAAGTAATTATTTGTTCATGGTTCAGTGGGTTGGGTTTGAGTATTGGAAAGTCAAATGGTTCGATTCATTTTTCCATTTTGTTTTTCTTTATTTTTTAAGACTCCTATCATATTTCGCTGTTAAGACCACCACACAATGCTAAGCCCGCACAATGCCAAGCCCGCACAATGCCAATCCTTTGCAGTGCCAAGCCCAGCCCGCACAGTGCCAAGCCTGTGCAGGTTAGGGTAATAAATATAATTACAGGCTGGAGCCAGCTAGTTCAAGACGCTGTAGAGGCTGGACAAGAGAGTACACGTGACTTTATCATAGGCAGAATCTTATCAGATTCTATCTTCCAGCTTCACCAAAGATGTGATCACGACTTCGAGAAGTCTCATTGCTATATGAATACATATATGCATATATGAACAAAACGTTCACAAACCCCATTGTTCTTTGCTATATTTTTCACAAGCGACTTGGTTGACGCCAAGCTGAGCTAGAAAATTTGCGGTGGGGGAATCCCCAGGCGTGTAGATAAGCTAAGAATGGGGGATTGTTGCGAATCCCCCATTCCTAGCTTATGTGGCCCCTGCATGCCACAGGTGGAATCGGAGCTCGCTTATGACGAGGCAGCGCATCCCTCCAGGTTACGCCTGGGGAACTATCCAACCCCTGCCCCGTATCAACATACATGTCTAGATACCCCTGAGCAGGCATAATTTTAAAATTATTTTACGAGAATAAATTAATTAATAAATTAATTAGAAAGTTAAATTGTCAAAAAAAAAAAACCCCTCAAGAAGTACGACGGAGGAATACATTTGGGGGAGCTACGAGCCAACACACATTGAAAAGGAAGAGGATGACATTAGAGGATATATACAGTTAAGTAAAACTGTACTAAAGAAGATCATCCCCGCACCGCTTCTGCCAACCGCTCGCGCACCACTCCGGATCCTCCCAGATCTGCCCCTATCCTAGTCCTTTACCATCCTTCACCCCTGGACATGCAAGAAGGTGGGCGGCATCCTGTGCTGCCCCCTCTTCGTACAGCTCACATCACACATTACGCTTAGTGAGAGCTGTTCGCAGACCATCTGTTTCTTTCCTTTCCGGAGTAGCCGATTTCGTCTCTTTACCCGCTCCGTTACTGACTTTCATTTCGCTATCCGGTATGCCTGATGTGGCCTCCGTGACCGGATGTTGACCCTAGGTGGGGTGCTTATCCTTCCTTCCAGTTCTTGCTCTTGTCCCACTCCTTGCCATATCTTCCTCGGCATCTTCCACAATGCACCTCATTCTTCCTTCCTCCCCTGAGTATATCGAGTTGAGATCACCAATGTACGCTAGAGGTATAAAGCTGGTATCCCGGTGCGTGCTTCGTTTTGTCGCAATCCCACCCGCCTTCTGTCGGTTATTGCTCTCTCCGCCTCAGTTATCATCACCAACATATATTGTGAAGAGGCTCGGGCTTAGTGGTGGGTTCTGCGGAGTCGCCTGCGCCATCCTCACCTGACCGGTCGCCTTCCCGCCCACTTCCACCTCGAACGACCTCGGTTGCAAGAATGCATCCACCCACCTCTTTAGGTCCAGTTATTCCTTCAAATCGCTAGGTACCATCTTTTCTCTCCATAGGTAATTAAAGGCCGACTTGATATTCCGTCCATATATCTTGCTGTCTGGGTTTTCCTTCACCAGCAGTATTACACTATCTATTGCTCCCCTTGCCTTCCTTTCTGCAAATGCCCCCTCATGCCAAATCTCTGGTATTCCATGTAAGTCCTCCGCGATGATTTTCCCTACTAACTTACTAACCGTGTTGGCTGGCACAATCGGTGTCCGGCCGTTCCACTTCATGCGGTCCTTGCCTGGCTTCTGTATCATCTCTATCTTCCCCAATATCTCTCAATACCTCCTGCCCCAGCCTGGTGTGTTGTATCTTTTTGGGAGCCTCCATGATATTCTAACCGGCCCTGGAGCGCTGTTGTTTTTAGTCTAATATTGCCATCATTCTACCGAATACAAATGAGCTGGGTACTAAGAGCTAAATACCTGGGAGGTGTGGAAGGGGTATTCCTGGGGATAAATCGTAGTCATCAGCCATGTCATAACTCAGGGCATCTCCACACCAAGCACATAGGGTCTGGAATATTCCAAGCCCAGCGTTGACTCGCCATCTAACACACTCACAGGAGTGTCTTCTGCCAGGTTCCCAATCTCCTCCCTCTCCTAAGGGCTGGGGTCTGTCTCTCTATCAATTCTGTAGGTGGTGAATATCCATCATGTAGGCATCTGTACTCTAGAGCACCTAATTTGGAGTTTGTTTGCAAATCAGATAGGATCCGAAGGAGCACAGATTGGGGTGCGGCGATGAGGGCCGGGCGATAGACTATGGAACGCCTAGCAAGTGCATGCAAGCAAAAAGCAGTAAGCTGCGAGAGGCTTGGGGTAAATACCCGAAAAAAGGTTCGACGTGGCTTCATGTTGTCTAGGAATTGACGCGTTTGCTGTCAGGTCGGCAGGAGTGACACCGGGGCTATTTGTAACTCATTACTCGCATTGAAACAGCGCGGACGGGAGCTGTTTGCTGGGGTTCACTTTACGTCCGAAGTAGACTGCCGCATAGCAAAGGCGCAGTGGTCTAATGGTATGACTCCTGCTACGTAATGTCCTACTGAACTCATGTAGAGGGTGGGTGATCCGGGTTCAATTCCCGGCTGAGCCAATATTTTTATATTTTGGCCACTACCTTGTGATATGGCTACATACCGTACACCATGGCATCATTCATGTGTAAGCAACCTATGAAGTATAACACTTCTGGCACCGAATGTGGTGATATTTTCTTACAGGCAGAGCCGATGATAGCATAGCTGGGATTTATTTAGTTGTACCGGGTCTGGCTGCGTGTCGTGCCTTGCCATCCCCCACGCCGAGCATGGGAGATTCATGTATCTAACCGCCCTGCCCCATATCTACGTACATGACCGGATTCCAGCTAGATAAATTAAAGATTAACGTACACAAAACAACGCGTGGGAAAAACGGCTCAAGTCCTTTACCCTCAGCCATGTCCCTTTTTTTTTTTTTTTTGGTAAATCAGTACTCGTATTGAAGCTTCTCGCTTATGACGAGGCAGCGCATCCCCAGGTTAAGCCTGACGGGATTATCCAACCACTGGGCCGCTCCCTGCCCCGTATCTACGTACATGACCAGATACCCCCCTTTAGGAAATACACAAAATCGCCACCCCCCGCTCAAGTGAAAAGCCACACAAAGATTCCATCTGCTCCCACCTGTGTCAAAAATTCTGATGCCAGTAGGAATCGCCAAGGATGTCCGCGCGCAAGTAGAAAAACCCAAAATAATCATGGTAGCGCGTCTAGTACATATACCCGTCCACTTCCCTCACAGACAGGGCATCCCCTCTCTCCTCCCTCACACAGCCCGCAAGACTCATCGGTGGTAGTTGACCTGGTGAGTGATGTTGCTCTTTGTTTCCCTTTCCCCTCTCTTCCTCTGCTGCTCAGACGGTTCCAATCATATCTTGTGGTGCGGAAGAATTTTCTTCCCATACGTAGCCTACCTACCTCCTCCGCCGACCTTGTAAAGACCACCAGAGAGGATGCCACCTTCTCCGGTTCATGTTGTTTCAATAACCACCTAACTCCCATGACTTCCACACCTTCATTATCTTCCTCAATCCATCTTCTCATTTGCCCTGGCTTGTACCTAGTTGGTACCCCATGCATAACTACCGCTTGTGCTCTGACCAAGGATGCTAAGGGTATTGGAAGTGCCAGCTTTGGAGATACAGGGGGATTAGTACTTCCTTGTTTCCTCTTCCTTTGCCCCTTCCTTCTAGCTTTACCCGGAGTTGTCTCCCTGCTCCTATACCCACTATCTAGTTCACTATCTTCCTCTTCATATGCGCTCAGGTCCTCATAGACCTGCCAACTGGTCACCGATGTAATTTCTCCCTGCGTGTTATCTCTGGGTACTTCCGGCGATAGCGACACTGCTTGTACTGCTACCTCCGCATATGTCTTCCCTGTCGAGGATGTCGCTCCCATTGCTGCTTCTTTCCCCGACAAGGGTGGTGATGGATCGGTCGCTACGTCTCGAGTGGTTTGTGTATCTGTCTGTATTCCTTTATCCTCCGGGGGAAGCAGATCAGTCGCTGTTGTCTGTGTCTGTACCCCTTTATCCTCCGGTGGCAGCGATTCATTGGAAACAATATCTTCCGCCTTTATGATAGCATCCACGAAGGCCCCCCATCTAACACCATCGTCACGGTAGGTATCTGATATACTCGTCCAAAATGCGTTGGACCGTAATTTCCTTGTATCCTCCAAAAGGTCCTGCTGCCCCCTTCTCTTGAATTCCCATTCCCATGTCTGTGTAGACGCTGTCACTGATATTGCTGGAGCCTCTATCTTTTCCTCCGTCTTTTCTTCTCCCGGCTGTAGCTCCCTCTCAAACTCGGAAATACTGTATCCCGCTGTCCCGGCTCCAGAGAGTGCGTCAAGTAGTAGCCTAGCTGCCCTAACAGCCGCGCTGGCTGTCCCATCCCTATCTCGAGTGTCCCCTAACCAGATTGCCAGACCTTTCATAAGCTGTTCCGCCGCTCCGACGAACATCTTCTGTGCCATTTTTCCCCTGTGGATCACCATTTGTGGACACCTCGGACCGCAGCCGCTACAATCCTGTCGGCACGTGACCGGCGGTGCCGCCATTACTGCCTTTCCCTTCCCCTTTCCCTTGTTCGGCATGCCGTAGTGGTGGTGTGGGAGTTTCGAATACCAGACGCGTTGGCGTAAGAGAGGTTACGCGTGTGGTCCCACTAGCGTTGGTGTGGGAGTTTCGAGTTTCTTGATTGGCGTGATCCCTGCGTGTGATAGAATGTGTGACCTGCAGCCCGACCCGCGTGGTGTGGGAATTTCGAAATTGCTGACTGGCCCGTTGCGCTATAGTCGTTGCCTCAGACCAGATCGCAATTGACACAGTGTGGCCGGGAAGAACTGCAGGATTCCCCTCTCTCCTAAGGACGTTTTTCGAGGGGGAAAGGGTCGCGATGTTCGAAACCTGAGAAATAAATCAGATACCCGTGAAGCCCTCCGAGCGGGCTTCCAAATGTCGTCGTCTGCTTCTCCTGGCGAGGCCTGGTTGTCGTGCTATTTACGAAAGTTGGGGCAGCCTCCTGTTGTTGTGTTGAGCCATGTCCCTTCCGGTGCTAATATCGCCGACATCATGACCAAAGGTCTCCCTCCTGTCGTCCATTCCCGTCATGTTATAAATCTTGGGCTTACAGAATGAGAGAGAGTATTGCGGCATACATTCTGTGCCCCGTTACTGTTATTATTACGTACTTATCTCAGTATATATGTCACCGTTTATCTCCTATTGGATACGTTTCGATATCTCGTATTCCTACCACTATCTATTTCATTTATTAAGTATAAATACCCTGTCTTACCTGCATACAATTATGTACGGTCATCTTTGCATGGTTGTTTACCCATCCATGCTCGTCAACTCCCACACTGTCTCATATGACGCTACGATAACATGTATTTCTCACGATGTATATAAGACTCGGGTTTGGCACCGCTGTTAGATAGACACACAATCAATTCATCACTGCATTCACACTCAATCTCTCCTTCTCGCTTGTTTAGGATCATTCCGCTGGTATTAACGCTATTATACGCTGTCCCGATTACTTATATATTTTACTTTTAATACTAGTACTGACTATATAATCTAGACCTACTTAACATAGTCACTACTACATACAGTCTTATTATGCTCTAAATATGCTAAACCTACTACTAGAGCAACTACTACTTCTAGTTGACTGACCATATAGTACTAAATCTACTAGAGTAGTTACTTCACCTTTAGTATCCTATTGTACTCTAAATGCACTAAACCTAGTAGTATAATGACTGCTACTTCCAATCAAATGATCTCCAATAGTACTAAGCCTGCTAATTCATATTATAGATATCTAGCATCCTTTACATACTCCAATAATAATAGTCAAAATACTGTCTATAAAGTTAGTATTACTATTTTCTTTTTCTTTTTTTACATATATCAATTACTTGTATGCACCTCTATAAGGGAAGTATAATAAGTTACCCAGAAACCCCAGTAGATTTAGGTATATATGTACAAGTTAATCTGCATGACCGGCAGGAAGAAGGAAGTGGACCCTATAGCTCAGAGTAAGAACAAAAACTATTCGGTCTCCTTCCCTCGTAATCGCTTAAATGAAAAACAAATATCAATGCTCAAGTAGGTAGCATAATCCCCGGTCAAGTGGAAATCAAAATAAATTGTACTGGTAGAAAATTTCCACAACACGTCAAGCAAACAACAATCCTCACGCAGGTAGAAATCGACCTTCTTATCTGTTTGAATCATATTCTGTGGTACGGAAGAATCTCCTTCCCATGCAGAGTTCTTGGTTCATATTGAATTAATTCTTCATGTACATAGATAGTCAGGGACAACCGCATCTTCTCCACTCTCCTCTATTCTTCTACTAACCCCAAGTATAGGCAAATATCTAGTGATTTCACCAGGCTCTATTCTAGGACTTATTGAATGTAGTAGTGGAATTCCTAGGCGTACCCATTGACCCCCACCATTGCTCTCTCTATGTTAAGTGCCGCGCTACCAATTCCCGCCGGGTAGCGAGGACAACATATCAAATCGGGGATAACCTAGATCCCTGAATCATCCGTCACTTCCGGATCCTCATTCAGGAACCGGCCCACGTGTGTGATATCTCTGCACTGGGCTGCTCATTGTCGATTGTATCCAGATTCCTCGGAATCCTACTCCTCTTCTTATGGCTCTGCCATTCCCGCAGCTCTGCAAACGCGCATGATCGCAGCATGAAGAAAAAGCAGGTCGGGGTGAGGAAGAGGATGTTGAATTGGGTCATTGCTCGATATTGTGAACATGAACCCTGTTTCGAGTGCTTGGGTATGAAGTCGTCGTGGAAGCCGAGGCCGCCTGGAGTGCTGCAGCACATTTCTCACGAGAGGGATGTTTGATACAGCTGGGTCCTCATCCTCGAGTATTGGTATGCCTGGATCCAGGACTTGGGTTAGATACCAAGCATGTTCTTCTGCCCGGGCCCTCTCCTGCTTGCCAATTCTCCATCACCCAGGAGAACTGCAGTTGATATGGCGTCAGAACATCTGTCGGGCTTCTGATTTCCCCCAGTGGGTCCCCGACTGGTTCTAATACGAATTTCCCGGACCTAAAGTTGTGGTGAGCGCCTGGCCAGAGGCTCAGCAGGTTTTCGACCCGATTGATCTGGCTGTTCGAGCCATGACCTCCGAACAAATATGCTTCCAAATTGCAGACCACAGTTGGGCCTGCAAAGACCCTCAGAAATGCAAAAGTGCTTGGCGTGGTTTTCTGTATCGGACCACCCAGCCTTGCGAGGGAGAATAGCACAATGTGTGCAACTTGCGGTTCAGGCCCGCAGGTCAAAACACACATATGGTTGTCGCGCTCTAACGCCTACCAGCACCACGATATTAGCAAACGGAAGACTGTAATGCTAGGTTTGGTAAACAAGGCTTACTAGTGCCTGCGTCGCTGTGAACCGTGTGGCGGTGTTGACCGATGGTTGGCGGGGCATGTTGGTAACCATGTGGTTAGCAACCCGCCTGTCATTTTCTTTTTTTGAACTCAGTACTCGTA